TATATAGTTCTATAGAAATAGGAGTAAAGCTAGCCTTTACGAGAGTTTTAGTAAATTCTTTTTACTAAAATAATAGAGAGCGCTATAATCCGTATAGTATATATAGTAATTTTAATACTTTATTCTTATATTCCGAACTATATAGTAGCTTTATATAAATAATTTCGTTTAATATTATATTAACGAAGGTATTAACTATATTGTACTATTTAAATTCGAAATTAAAATAGGCGGTAATAGTTATTATAATTTTAAATAATCGGATTACGAGAGTAGTAGTATATATTTTTTATATATTATCGTATAATTATTAATTTCTTTGAACTATTAAACGAGCTTTATATTTAAAGTAATATCCTTTTATATTAAATTTATATATATATACCTATATTAAACTGAATAATTCAATAATTTTATTAGTATACTACTTATCCTTATTAACCTATACCTACGATTTCTTTTCCTTATAATCTTTTATATACTTTCGTTCTACTTTATAGAAGAGATTACTAAATGGATAGTAATTAAAGTCTTTATAAACCCGAGAGGGAGGAAGGAATTTTCGTCGGTAGAGATTAATTAAAGTATTAAGGTCGTTATAATAATCTATAATATTTCTAATTAATTTCGAATTATTGAAGAACTTCTCTCCTTCCTCCTTTTTACTAATAATTATATATTTTAATTGGTCGAAAGTTTCTTTATTGATAAGCCGCCTATTATATAACCTAATATTTATTTTATTTAAAATAATTAAGAAGAATCTAACCTAATAGAGATACTTATTATATATTAATTAGTTCTATTAAGGGCGCAACGTACTAAAACTATTAATAAAAAATAATATTAGACTTTCTAGGAGAGTAAGATACCCTATCTCCTCTTTATTTATTATTATTACTTACTAATCGTTTTATAATTATAATTCTAGTATTAGAGCTCTAGTACCCTCTTAATATTATTCTTCCTCTTATATATATATAAATTCGGTCGGTTCGGAAATTGTAGTACTATTAGCGGCGGATAGGGATTTAACGACCGGATCGGCCTCCTTATCCTCTACTTTAGTACTTCTAATTAGTAATAGGTCGGATATATTAAATTCTAATTAATAAATATTATTTAATTATTCAGCCAACTTTTTAAAGAAGATATTAAGGGTATTATAGAATTCTTCGATTATATTTATAAAAACTTTATCTTTATTAAAAACTATATTTCTCGTTATAATAACCTAATTTATATACGGATTCTAAATATAATAAATATTACTAAACTAGTCACTAACTAAATACCCTACCTAAATATATTATTTGAATTTCTAGATCCGCTTTTAACCGCGTAAGATATTAATTATAAGTACGAATGCTTTATAATTATAAATTTTAAAGTAGGATAATTGTAATACTAATCTTTATTAACCGCCGTTATAATTAACTATATATATAGTAAAGCGCTCTTTTAGGGACTTCTAATTGAATTCCTATTATAGAATTAAATTTAATAGGTATACTACTATTATTATTATCTCTCTCTAGAATTTTTATAATAAATTTACTAATTCTCTCATTACCGCCGACTTCTCCCTAATTATACCCCCCGAACGTTCAATACTACTATTCTATACCTAAATATATAGAGCCGAGGGCTCGAGAACCGTACTATATTTAATTAAGAAGGTAGCGATATAAGGTTTATTTATAATTATTTTATTATTATATTCAATTACCCTTAGTCGGATTTAGTAATAAAGTTTAAAACCGTTGAATAATAATATTAGTATAGCAATAATCGAGTCCGCTATTTAATTTAATAGATAATATAATTATACCTTCTTAAATTAACGATTTATAATGATTATTAAATTTAATACTATACTTCTATTAAATACTTTAATTAGGGAATAATTAAAGAAACTAATAGTAAGATAAAAGTTAGGACTTTCTAGTGTATTACGGACTTTTCTATATATTTAGCGCTTTATTTTAATTATTGTATAGGAATTATAATAAATGAGATTAGGGCCCTTTAAATATACTTTATATTCTTTATTTATTAATTAAGTTAAAGTTTCTAATCCCGGGTAATTAAGGCGAAGGTATTAGTATAAGGTATTACCCTCTTAAAACTTCCTAACGATCTTACTAGTAAATTAGTAAAATTATACGTAAAAAGAGGACTAATTAATATACGTTTCGAAGGGTATATATTCTAATATAAATTAATTGAACTTTAAAGAGAGATAATATAAATAATTATTATTTGAACGGAAGCGACGGTACTCTAAATTAAAAGACTAATCCTAATACAATCCCTTTTCTAATAACCTTCTTAGAAATACTAAATTATATACTATTCCGAATATAAGTATAACGTTATTAAGTTTAAAACTAATAGAGTAACCCTCGTTATTGCTTAATACTAAATAGATTAAACTATATCCTTCAATTATAATAAACGTATCTCCTGCCTAAATGTAGTCTCCCTCTCTCGTAGGTTTAAGACTTTTAAACCGACCGGCCTTATTAAAAATATAAATTATTATACTTAAATTAAAAATTACTAAATCCTTTAATAAGTACTTTAATCTATCTTTATAGGGTTTTAATACTAAAAAATTCACTTTGTAATATATATTACTAGTTCGCCGGCTATTAAATTAGAAGTTACTGATATTATTTTAATTAGATTCGTTAATCTTAATATCTTTCAATAGCTTTTTAATCCTATTTATAAACTTAGAATCTCTCTAGCAATTCTTATTAATTTACTTATATATATATTAATTTTTTTTAAAGTTATCTGGTTAGTTTACTAAAATAATATACTAGCAATATTTAAATTTATAACCTATATATTTATAAGTAGGGCACGCCCTCTTGGACCGTTTATTGCAATCTTAATAATTTTAATAATTACCGGCCGGCCTTTTACTTCTATTATCCCGGAGGTTACTAGGAGCGTTCCTACTAGATTTAGTATATATAGTTACTACCCCGAACGTACTACCCTTATAGATTGAGGAGCGACCCTTATTTAATAGAAACACTTTAAGGACCGTTTATTTAAACTCCCGGACTATATTTATAAAAGTATAAAGTTTATTATCTTTAATTTAGCGATATACTATAGTTTAAGTAGTAAGTAGGAACCCGGAGAATTTACTTATAGTATAGAGGAAGTTTTAATACTAATTCTTTAAATTAATATATTCATTGATATTATAGTATTAACTAATAATTATAACCCCCTCCTACTCTTTAGACTAGGTAGTCTAACTCTTTAAGGTGCGAGTAAAACGGACCTTCTCTTAATATTTAATATAGGTATTATTTTTAATTTTTATAGGGTTATAGTTAATTAACGCGCGGAGCTTATCGTACTAAATAGTAATAGTCTCGGTTTTTAGGAAGTAGGTTAAATAAAGCTTTTTAATAATATATTTCTTTATCTAATATTTAATATTATTAACGTTAGTAATAAATTTATTCTAATCTTTCTTTTTGTAGTAATAATCAGCTAAAGTAGTTTTATAATCGCGGAAGTCGGACTTAGACGTAAACCCTAGGCGCTTAATAGTAAAAGAAACCTTTACGGGCGGACCGGAGGGAATTTAAATTAAGGTAGACGTTAGGGTCCGAATTAGAATTGTAGTCGACCGGGTAATTTGAGATAACTGGGTATTAATAGCCGGGGGGCCGTTGTTTACCTATGTAATATTGAAGATCTATTATTAAACTTAAATATCCTTAGGGATAACCGGTTCTTAGAAATTAGTAATTAACGGCTTAATAGGAATATTAGGCTAGGGGATTCGCTTTTCGAAATCCTGGTTAATAAAAGACTAAAGCTCTTTATTAAAAACCTTATCTTTAAATCCCTTCTTCTAGAGATACTAATCTTCGAATTTATTAAGAATAACCTCGCTAGTAGTCTTAAGATCGATAGACATTATCACGTCGTATTATTTACGTTAGTAATATTTATTTACTTTGGTAGGGAATTATTGTACTGTATTTGCCTGGATTACTTCAAACGGTGATTATTGTGTATAAGACTCTTAATTATAGAATACGAGCACGAGCAGGGGTATTAATTCAGTAGAGGGTGCAGACTGTATATTATATAGAGCTCTGATGTGGGCTAATCCCTTATACAGAAAATCTAGTATCCAGAAGGTGGCCAGGGATGCTAGCTTACGTAAGGTACTGGGCTGGCACCCCGGTTACCTCCAGTATCCGACAATATGGCCTATACGGGCCGACAACAGTAGAGATGTGGGTGATGTGCGGTGCGCCCTCCCACGTCTCCAGGTCTCTCCCCCAAACAAATCATCCCCCAGAAATTGGGGAAGTTCGGTCAAATTGTAGTTACCCCGCGAACAAAAACTCGGGGAAAAACGTGAGAGTGGTGAATGAGCACACGACGATGGAACTCGGGAGAGCTTTACTGAAGAACCCGCTCTGGTCCTGTAGCAGATCAAGACGAGATGTGTTACAAACGTCACCTCTCAGAAGGGACCCTTGAAGACTTCTTTCTCCAACTAGCCAAGAAAGGAGGAGAGAGGGGACCGACTCAATTCAGTTCCCACAAAGTCGCACACCGCGCGGGGCAAGGGTAGGACGACCAACCTGGTCGCCGTCGAAGATTTCACCCCGACGCGTGGAACGCCGGATGGGGACTGACTCCACTGAGACTTGTTACACCGGTACACCCGACGATGGTGACGGCGCCGTCGGGTAGTGATGCGGAGGTTGTATTGGTTTCTTTCTCCGATAGCTCGCTCTGACGGCGGCGGTCCAGGCCTTTGTTTTCGGCAGTTATCACCGTGTCGAACTCGGTGCACGAACTCAGTGTTGAACGCGATACATCACACATAACGGCGGTCGCAGCACATTTGGGTACCATGGGCGAGAGCCTAGAATTACTGCGAGGGCTTCTGGGAACTGTCTACGGTCCCCCCTTCGACATGCAACCATCGACAAGGTAACAGATGAAATAGGTTAAAATGTTTTCTTGCATTGACACATGTGTTACCTCCCATACATCAACTGTCTTCAATTTCCCCAGCCATATTTCCTCGTGGTATATCGTCCTCCAAGCCTTACGGTTCCCTTTTTCCTGCATTACCCAACACGTTTTGCTGAAACAGAACCTCCCATAGCTGAACATCTGCGCTTGCGGCCTGCGATATTATACCACAATCAGCACCCAATGATCTTTCATCAACTCTTCTTCCAAGTGTCTCCTCAACTGGCTGTTCCTGATAAAACAGCCACTTTGGTTTAGAGCCGCGGGGGCTTCCATCCCAGCTAATATACAATTTGCGTGAGGAATGAGCGTTTCCGAGCGCTTAGTGTCCATGTCTTCACTTCTCGGGCTCATGCCATACAGCCCATTTCTTTATTCAATCATGACAGCCTAGCTGTATGCCATCTCCGCAGAGTGTGACTTGTATAAGCCTTTTTCTTTTTTTTTTTTTTTCTTTTTTTTTCACAGTCAGCGAAACTTCACCCGCCCATCGTCCTGAAAGACTTTCCATCTTTCCTCCAATACACCTGTTAATCGCCGAGCATTCCTTGATGCACTCGTCAAGGGGCGTCGTCTTCGTGTTCGTCAAGTTGTGAGCGACCCCGTCGCCGACATAATCGATTCCACACGTATGGTGTAATCTAGCGCCATTCTTCGTAGAATACATTATCTCGCCAGCGCCTAGCCAGTTGATGGGTGTTGTTGGGGTGGTTGAGGTTGCTGTTGCCGTTGCGAATGTCATTGTGGATGATGTACTTGATGAGGCGGTCCTGGGAGTTTTGTCAGTGCAGGTAACTCCATGGTTGGGTAAATGAAGGTGAGGTTTGCTTGCGCTCCGGCACTGTCGCTGTCGCTCTTGGTCCCAACGCCAACTCCCACTCCTACGCCTATCGCAATCCCATCGAGAAATAGGCCTTCGCCGGCGAATAGAATGAGAAAAAAAAGTTCCGTTTGATGCCGCAGATCCTCTCGTTTCTCTTGTTTGCGGGGCCCCGTAGAACGTCCGGCCTGCGATGGTGGATAGCCCATCTGCGACCCGCCGTACATTTCCAGCGAGTCCCTATATCAACCCGGTTGAAGATATGCTAACGGGTAGAACAACGGTTGGTATTCAGGCGGCGCTGGTGACGGTGAAGGTGAGTGGTGATGCCCGTAGGACACGGCTGTTACGCCGATGGGCGACTTCTCGGTATAAGTCGTTAAAGGTAATACTTCAGGTCGCCATTTCCGGAACAACCTCCGGGGGGTGCGTCTTCCCCAAACTGTCGGTTACCTGCCGGTTTGCCCACAACTTATAGACCATCCACCCCGATGCCGCTCCGGTAAGTACAATGATTGTCGGACACGCTTCTGCGGAGGATCGATCCGGCATTTTTGTGTCTCCGAGATTCACGGTCAACAGCACGTAGACGAGTTTGTCGCATCAGGATGGTGTTGGTCAGATGCATACTCCTTCGGCGAACTCAAAAAATCGACCCAGCAGCCTTCTCGGTGGATCTGGCACCGTTGCACATATACGCCGGGCGCTACATATCCACGTCGTCTACGCGCCACCAGGGGTAGAAAGCTGACTATATCAGGAGTCGTTGTGTAATCTTCCACCGTCTTGGTTCACTAAATATGACTGGAGTCGTAGTCAGCACCAACCCGATTCTGGCAGACATGGGCCGATTCCAGGGCAATTTCTAGGCACCCGCATTTCGCCCACTGGTAGCGCTTACGATAGATAACTCAAAAGTTAGAGAATGGAAAGACTCGAGTCCACCGAGATATCGTTCTCGTTGTGTTTGAGTTGCTGATTGTTCACCGTAGGTGATGCCAGGTTGTGATTGAACTTTATATGGAATCACGCCAGCCCGCGCTTGCGGAAGGTGAAGATAACATGTTTTGAGTGGGCAAAGAAAAGTTCAGGTCATCAGGCACAGTTGTACCTGGTCCTCTGTAGGGCGTATTCGGGTTCATCGTCGTAAGACTCGAGCAGCGGAGACATCGAGCCAAGGTACGACGTCCAGATTGAGCTTCTTCCGGGAATGAGGCTTTTCGATAAGGACGTTTGATACCTATGGGGCATGACCGACGGCCGGCGCGGGCGCTGGAAACACGTGGATCCGATGAACAGTAGTCGAAGAGTTGGGCGGCCGGAGCTGCTCTTGGAGTCAGTAGCATTTGCTACATATATAGTAAAGACGATTCGAGAAAACGTGACAGAGCACTCAAGCATATCAAGAATGAAGGTGGTTGTGGGCAGGTTAACGCTCCGTATTCTTCTCACGTTGGTTTCTCGGTAGTCTTTATGTCCACACATGACATGGCGGGAGGGGCGCTTCCGCATCTTGGATCAACCGATAGACACCCGCGAACCAACCCGACAGTGCAAGGATCACATCCGTCGGAAGCCCGCGGCCGAGACGGTGTTGATGATGTCCCTTTGCTTCTCGAACCAACCCACGAATGTCATTGAACCGGCAGGCAGCTCCATCACAACCAGACAGGGTTGCGGCTGAGCATTGAGCAGGAGTTTGGCAGGCGACGAGAGGAAGTCACAGGAGCTGTCGTGGAGGGCACTGCCAGAGCTCCTATTGGTGAGACTTGGAGGAGGAAAGCAAGGCTAGGCACAGCCATCATGATGGCAGTTTGCCTTAATACCGCCGGCAGCAAATCAATTGTTCGCAACTCTTGAGAGCCGCTTCAACAGCGAAAGTCCTACGAGACTCTTCTGAAGTCCTATCCAGGCTTGACCACTTCAGGTCTAGGTCAGGCACAGCCAAGTGACGCCATATACTGCGTAGTGTACACTACACTACACTTCGGACGTGGGACTGGGGAAAACTTGACCCACAAGTTATCCTCAGATGCGGAGGGGATCGCGCCTTGACATTCAGCTTTGAGTTGCTCGTGACTGTCAATGAAGTTTCTTCTCGAGTCAAAGGAGATGTCCTGAGAATCAGTCGACGTGACACTTCCTGGCTGAGGGAATGAAAGGCTCATGAGCAAACAAGAGGGAGACGGGATTTGTTGAACAACCTGAAGGGTGCACGAAAGGGAAAGTGGCGTTCCACGTGTTACCTTATCATACCTAGGTAATCTTCCACTAGGTAGGCGTGCAGGCGTCGGGTGGTCTTGGCAGCGAGCATCTCTCATCACTGCAACGGCCTCAACTCGCCCCACTCTCCAAGACACAGTTTTTCGATCACTACGAGTTAGCGACCGTAATAAAGTCGAAGTGCGATTGTACATTCTGCTTTCCAGTGAAAGTCTAGTAAATGGTGTTTGGAATAAGCGTCGGTGTTGGTGTCCCAAGACTCGACTAGAGCAGCTACCTCATCCTGGCCTCCATCTCAAGCTTTCCCCGCTGTCATCCGACATACGGTGGTACCAGAGCATCAAATTGGTAGGTGCATAGGTCTAGAGGGAGGGTGGCACTGTGAGAAGAGCAACGAGTACGAGTTCGTCCCATGTATTTCTTTCATCGCAAACCCCAACTGGTATTCCGACTATCTGAATTTTCGCGCGTTTCACACCACATGGATGCTGTTTCAACTCGAGCGTCCACAGTACGGACAGTAACACAGCAGATTGGGGTTATTCCAGTGTCCTAATGGCGGAGAGTTACGGGAAGCTTCAGAACAACCCATTGATTTGCTTCATCTGTCAAATCTTCTACACTATATGGACCTGGGCCTCTATCAAACATCAGCTCATCGTCATGGCACATCTGATTGTCCATCTCCTGCACCTTGGAGTTCATCTGCTCAAGGTGTTTGGTGTGTGAACCCGTTGACATTGGTTGGCATCAGTCCACTCCAGGCATCTCTCAATTCACAGCCCTCTACAAAATCAACATCAAGATTCCTCTGTGACTGGCGCCAGCTCGTGATCTCGATATTTGTTCTAGTATAGAGGTACATTAGCGGGCGCTCAGCCTTACACTCCCACCCAGATCCCTGGTTCATTGCTAGCGCCCAACTGCGGGTTTGTTTGGAGGAAGGATCCGAAACCCCACAGCTGGGCTGTCTGCGTCCACTCTTGTCGCTGCCCTGAGAGGTGCCCGACTGCCCTGCCACTGCCCGCCAGCCCACCGCCGCCGCTATGGTAGGTCGTCCAGCATTGCCCGGGATCCCGGCCAGCCGTGGACATCCCGCTCCCACCTGCGCGGGCACCCACGACCACAGTCGCTGCTCCAGGCACAGCAGGTCCTACCCCAGTGTTTTGAAGTCCTTCCGTCTCACGGCAGCCAACAGCGGAGTTCTTTGACTGGTTCTCATACCCTCCCTTGACACCAGGACTCATTCAATTGATCGTCACCTCCACCTAGGTAAATCTACCATTTCGATTTGCATGTTGTCGGTCGCTGCTTTGTGCCTGTTAGACTAGTTGCGAAGGACTTTGTCACTTGGCTGCCCTGTAGATTCGCTGGGTCATCCCTGGCTGTATATCTCTACACTACAAAAGTCACGAACACGGGAGGAGTGCGGATTAGTCGCCCAGACGGAATCGCAGGCAGGCTTAGACAACTTAACCGAAGACAACAACAACACCAACACCAACAACGAGCCAAGCGCAGTTGCAGCCCCCCCCATCCACAAAGCCACTGCAACCTCATACCCGACCCTGCCTCTTGTGTCCTAATTTCTCACGCCCGCTCGCCGCCGTCTGCCTCTGTCTCTCTCGCAGCAGTCAGGTCTTGCTCCCTCCAGTCCCGCGTCCAGTCATTCCGTCAGTCGCCCATTCAGCTTTGCGGTCCTCGTTCCCGTCCCTGTCCGTACGGTCCCGTCCCATTCTTTGCACTTTGCTGCTTGCGCCTCTTCGACCTAGCTAAAGCCTGGCCGTCCATCCATCCATCCATCCATCCCACCCCTCGGTTGCCTGCTTGCTTGCTTGCTTGCAGTCTTTCTCCTTCCCTCGTGTCCTTTCTCCTTCCTAATCCTAATATCCTCGGCGGTCCTCCCTTATGAGTTCTATGAACTCTCGCCTGAAAGGCTTTGGTTTTGGCAAACGCAAATCGACCGCCAGCATACAGCCGAATCCTGATCATCAGCAGCAGTCGCCCACCCCGCCCCCCGGAGTAGCCCCTCAATTATCGCAGCTCTTCCAGGCCCGCCCGGGTCCTGCGCCCTCCGTTGCGTCCAACTCGTCTCAGCAGAGTCTCCCTCAAATGAATCATCCAGGCGCCGGACCACGGCCGCCCAGCTACTCCGCAAACTATCCGCCAGGCCCTCCCGGTCCTGTTGGCCGGACCAGCCCTTTGACGAACCAAGGCCCGACCCGCACGCCGCCGTCGCAAATGGTCGGCGGTCCCCCACCCATCAACACTGGGGCTCCCCCTGTCTCCGGCTATCCTCCGCCCGTCATGGGAGGTGGTCCTCCTCCTCTACAAGGAGGCCCGCCGGGATATGCTGGTGCTCAAGGATACCCTCCGCCGCCCCAGCCCACCGGCCCCGTTGCTCCCTATCGCAACGCCGCTGCCGAGGTGGAGGGCAACAGCCGTAGCAAGGCTCAGCTCATTGTTGGTATCGACTTTGTAAGTCTTATAGACCCAGACTAGTCTCCGCGTGCCGTTTGCTAACCTAGTCATCATAGGGTACCACCTTCTCTGGTGTCGCTTTTGCTTTCGCAACCAACAATGAGGCCAAGGAGGACATCATTACAGAGTGGCCCGGCGCAGGCTCTTACACAAAGCAAAAGGTTCGGTGACCTCCCATTGTTGGCGTACCATTCGCATGAACCATAAAACTAATATACTCTCGTGCAGATCCCCACCGTCCTCTACTATGACCAGTATCAGAAGGTTGTTGGATGGGGCCCCGACATTGCGGATGCCCTAGCACCAACTGGTTACCCAAAACCTGGCGTGCAAAAAGTGGAGTGGTTCAAGCTCCAGCTTATGCTGTCGGGCAACACCTATATCGATCCCATTAACCTGCCGCCTCTTCCACCTGGAAAGTCAGAGATCGATGTCGCGGCCGACTATCTGTTCAAGCTCCGCCAGGCCATGCGCGCCGCGCTCCTGAAGACTCTGGGTGAAGTCTTCAACCGTGAAGAGAGGAACATCCGCTACTATCTTACGGTCCCTGCTATTTGGAACGATGCTGGAAAGGCCGCGACGCGAGCTGCTGCCATTCAGGCTGGCTTCCTCCGCGATGAGAACGACAACCGTCTTACGCTGGTCAGTGAGCCCGAAGCCGCAGCTCTCTTCTGCTCCAAGACGGGCCTTCTGAACCTCAAGGTACACGATGCGGTTCTCATTGTCGATTGTGGTGGTGGAACGGTGGATTTGATCGCGTATGAAGTCGAGGACGAGAACCCGTTCACCGTGGCAGAATGCACCGCTGGCTCTGGTGACTCGTGCGGTTCGACTGCCCTTAACCGCAACTTCAGTAACATTCTGCGGACAAAGATCAGGAAGATGAAGCTACCTGATG